AAACCAACCACTTGTTTCCACCGTGCTGACACGCCAACCGCCATAAAAACTAGGCCTTTTGATGCCAGCTCGTCTGTTATGGGGAGACTTGTAGTTCCGATTAACTGTTTTGTATTCTGGCAAAACTTCTTAGCTTCGTCCAAGCTCATTTCGTCGAGCACAATCCCACAATCTTTATCTCGTTCGCTCATCGTTGCTACTTTGCACTCCAACAACTTAAAAATATTGTCCAGAATCCCTATAGGTAATTGAAAATTGTTTATTACACACATAAAACAAAAAAGCAACGATTGTATTTTAGTATCAAGCTTACCTGGTCTAAAATGGATACCTTCAACATTCCTCAGCAACGTTCTGGTCGAGGGGAATGGAAAACCACGTTTTATAAGCTTGTCATAACCACCACGGCACATGAAACGAATTTGCAAGCTGTCGGTAACCGTTTCATCCGACCACTTCTTCACATTCAGAACTTCACCTGACAATAACTTCATTTGATCAGAACGGAAAATTTTCCGCTCAGCTCTTTTATTCTCTGTCGTCTGCTTTACCACAAGTTGTTCAAACTTTTTCTTCCAGCGCATAGCGAGTCTTGACATAATTAAGAAAATTCATACATTAATACAGCGTATATTTTGGAAAATAGGGTGATGGGTTTAGGGTTCATGGGGATCTTATTCCAGTCAAGAAAAAGACCGAGGGCGAAATTGCAATCTTTTTTTGAATATCATCGCAATGTTAACTTTCGAATATTTCCCATTAATATCTTTGAAATGTAGCTACTGGAAATATTATTTCTCCTGCTCTAGGGAAAAGGGGAAAAGGGCTCAACAAACTTTTTAAAAATTCTTCGCCAATCTCGAGATACGAACTAAAATAATGTATGATTACGCATTAGGAACTACGCAGAACATGGAGAGGTCACGGTACATTAAAGTCTCACTTACACCTCTTTCCTTTTAACCCGTTGATATTTATTTTACGCTACTGTCCCTCTGGCTACGCGCATATCTAAATCTATTCACTCGGGCAGATTATTGAAGCAGGAAATCCTCAACTTAAACTTCGGATTTCACAGCAGCAAAAACAAAATTGTCTCTGTCTTTGCCCTCGATACTTTCTTAAGAAAAGCCTAAGAAAGAAAAGCTTTCCCTCATTTTTTATGTAATAAACAGCACTACTGGAAAGTATCACTTATTTTACCTATTCAACCTGGAGACTTGTCCTCTCAGTCGCAGGATTTCACCGCAGAGATGTTTTCCTTGTTCTCCCTTACTGTCCTCGGCGCTTGATGAACAAGTTGTACTCAGCTGATTACCGGTGTCCTCAGATGCTTTCGCTTCGTTGCTATCGTTCTCAACAGTTTCCATGCGCTCCACCGACTCAGCAGTTAATCCAGGAACCTCCACTGGAATTCTAGAGATACGATCCGCATTAAGTTTTCCGTCCGGAAAATGAGCCTGTACAAAACAAGATTTAAGTATTGATTTGAAAACTAGTGCAATGTTCTACTTACGCTGCAAATTCTAGTGCTGGATTTGACAACAAAATATTCGATGTCATCTTCGTTATCTACGCACAAACGAATCCACTTCCGCCTGATATCCTGGTCTTTTGGAAACCGAAAAAAACTGGAGTTCCGGGTAGAATAATTTGCTACGACCACAATGTTTCACAAAGCACCGCATTTTATTTTACTTTTCCACCAACAAAAAGTAACAATAATTTTAGAATTTGTACGCAAACGATGAAAAAAAACCTCGAGAAAAGCAGAAGAGAGCAAAAAGCAAAAGCACTGTATGACATTTCTAATTGACAGATGCCTGTGACGACTCGTTTTCAACAGGGACATTTCTGGCAAAAGAAGAACACCTATAAAAGAGTAAGAAGCCAATTGTCACCTCTTTCTCTTGGGCTTTGCTCACCCCTTTCAATGAAATTAACTTCGATTTTCGAGTTGAAACGAGGCCTCATTATGGCTTTCAATCCCTTTCACCGACCTTGTCACCTGCTCTGTCAATTTGTTTAATATGCGTTACGTTCCACTTACGTTACCTTCTTAGATAAATATGTGTAATGAAGATAAATTAAACATATTACGTGTAGTCGTTTTTTTACGTGAGAAATGCTTTAAACATATATCGTACTTTCCCGATTTTGTCAGCTCCATCTGAAATTTTAGGCTGACAAAAACGGGAAGCTGACCATTTTAAAATTAAGATTAACCATTATCTATCCACTATTAATAGACTTACTGATACATGTTTACTATTCTTACAACAAAGGGAACACCAAACGTCTTGAAATAGCAAAGCTGTTTGCATACGCTTTGTTGAGCTGGTACGTACTGTTCAGTTTCCTAAAATTCTGCTTGGTTTCCAGCAGACGCTGCAACCCGGGCTGGACCTCCATATCTTAGTATCAACGTAGATACACTAGCCAGGAGCCTCTTGCTACTACTTGGTTCCGAGATGTTCAGAATGATTCTGGTACCACGTTGATGAGCTTCTCGCAGGCGACGTGACTACACAGCAAAAAAAAAATTATTTTGATATTACATATTACGTGATTGAAGTGCATCCTCTTGGATGTAATATTAAAATTTATTTTTTGCTGTGTCATCGAGCATCACTTCCTGGTATTTTGACATGCGCTTCGAGGCTACGGAGCGCTCCCCAACGGTGATTTCTGTCCGCTGCACCGATTGATAGTTACTGATCAATAGCACTCTCTTTTGTGGTGGGCTATCCGCAGCTTCGCTCCATGTATCCAGTTTCCAATCATGTCGCTCGCCTTGGTCGCCAACATTTCTTCCATCTATTCGAGCGTCTTGCATGTTACCGTTTGGGCAGCTTCAGTGTTAGCACGCCATTGTACATCCCGTTCCAGAGCGTTGGACCAAGGATGGAGCCTTCTGGAATTCCCACCGTGATCCTAACCGATCTCTGTCCCATGTCTGTCTCGTAGACCAGAACCCGGTTCTGGAAGTAGCTCCTTAGAATTCTACACAGGTAGTCAGGGACTCTCATTCTATGCAGTGCTTCGGCGATGTTGAACTCATTCTTGACGTCCGAATTGGATTCACCGTTGCTCTACCTTTTCGGAATCTGAACTTCTTCTCCGACAACCCGTGCTCCCTCTCCGTGCATTTTCGTTAGCTTGTTTAGGATGATCTTCTCCAAGAATTTTCCGAGTGTATCCAGCAGGCAAGGCACTGCTACGAGTTCCTCGTTGTCAAGTCCCGTTCCAGGCGATTTCGGTTCAATTTGCTGTCAAATCCGAGTCAGTTGGTGATTGGTCGATTTGACAGTAGCAATCGTGGAATAAGAAGGACAGAGGGATCACATCAATCTGACTGGCAGTGATGCCGGAATCAATGTTGACGTCAATGGCGTTTTTAATTGTTTATATTTGGGAAAGGAATGTTGGAAAATAGGGTCCACAACGTGCTTTAAGAGATGGATATTCTTGTATGTTTATGGTTGTTTTTATTTTGTTAAGCAAAAATGATGTACAATGTTTTAAACTGTGGTAGAAACTCCGAATCAAATTCAAATTTAAATCCGTCAAACACCATGCACTAATTTTCGATGGGAATTCATCAAAAACATCAGGAAGAGTGAGAAACTGGATTGTCAAGTCCCGTCCCGGGTTTAAACTTGTTCGAGCTAACTTCAATTTAGTTGGTATATCCCTGTGCTCAATTAAAATTTTAAAAAATAGCAAACATTTTAATTTAATAACTGGAACGAAAATATGATTGCTTCATTAAAGCATATTATATTCCAAATAGAATGGATTATACCCCATGTATACAATATAGTTCGAGTTATAGTTTTAGTTTTCATAACTTTCATTATTCGTTGTCCTCTTTTCTTTCGAGAAAGATTGCATATTGTCGGTTTCATGCAATACTGGCACAATTCAAAATCGGTAAATTCGGGTTCAAAAATCATTCTGCATTTCTGTGTTAAGTTTCAATTTAACGAATGTTTTCATTTCCACTAGACTTCGGAGCTTCGAGAGCATTTCAGGCGATAACGGCACAAAAGCTGTGTTAACAATAAATACGAACACCCTAGGATTAAAGTTATAACAGTTTCAAATTTGTTAGCAGAGTGTACACACTACCACGCATCTCTCTTATCACCTATCGGTCTGATAGAGTGAAAGGATATCAATAGGCTTTTTACAATTCGTGTGCAGGTCGTGTTTGCAATCGGACCCTTTGCATATTATATAACCAGTATAGAATAGCCAGGCCAGTTCAATTCAATAAAGACCGCCAACCTAAGAGCACTCCTTCACTAATAAACCGTTTTCCTAGTCTGATACCGAGCCAATCTAGTTCTTTTATTTTCGCACATTAAATGGTCCTTCGAGCCGGATGATTGGCGTCGGTATAATTGCATAGTTTTCGGTTCGCGAGAAAGGTTTCTCGTGAAGTTAGTTTCGCGTCGGTCGAAAGTATAAGTACCTCGAACGTCATCGTTGTAAGTGCCGTGGACATTAAAGTGGAGCAAGCTCACAGTGCTAGCTAGTGATAAAATCCCATCTATCGAACGTGAACAGAATTAAAAGTGACAAAGTGTTCTCCGCGTGGACCGGAAAAGGAGCTACAGTTGGGTAAAATTGGCCAAAGCGCAACCACACAGCGACCAAGGAGGGTGGCACCAAGGCTTGGCTGGAATCAACCGCGTGTGTAGCAGTTGGCGTGGCTTGGATCCATACAATAGGACCTGAAGATAATAGCCGGGTTGACAAAGGGCGATCACTCGACGTCGGGCACCACATTACCAATTGACGGTAATTGATGAGGTAAGCGAGTAGAAGCATGCGACTAACCCACCTACTGACAGATTTGATTATTTGGGAATAAATTGCGGACAAATAGTGAGCGTATTTCCGAGAATTTGAGCATATATGCTAACTGAACTAACACGAGGTGGTGGTTAAAGTCTCGTGGACTGCTGGCAATAGGAACAATTACATTTTCCGATATGCCTGCCGATTTAAGAGCATTGAGCAAACAAGAGCGTTTCTGTTTCGATACGCTAAATAACGTGGTTAAATTTGTCGATGGTTACAACGAGGATCGGGATAAAGGGCAAATCGCGGGGTGGAAGGATCGTTTGGAGGGACTTTTCGAGAACTTTTTGAAGATCCGTCTGCAGATCGATCTGCTGCAAGATGCTGATTCGGCTACCGCAGCTAATGATGAAGAAGCCAGTCGCAAAATACGTGAGCAATTCGAAAAGGGCTACGTGAAGGTGAAAGGGTTCTTGATCAATGCTGAACGCATGGCTAACGCAACGCCGTCCGTCAGTACTGAAGTAATTGCTGCTAACTCTAATCCTAGTCGCACTAATCAGATGGCTAGGATAAAGCTCCCCGAAGTTAAGCTGCCTTCGTTTGATGGATCAGTCACTGATTGGCTGACATTCCGAGACACTTTCAAAAGTCTCATTGATTCCAACCCTAACCTATCGGATGTGGATAAGTTCTCGTATCTTGTCGCATCTCTAACCAAGGAAGCTAAACGGGTTGTTGAGGCTATTGACATAACCGAAGCCAACTACCCTATAGCCTGGGAAACGCTAGCCAGGCGTTTCGATAACAAAAAGTTGGTGGTCAAAACCTACTTAGACGCTCTTCTTTCCGTGGAACCTCTGAAAAGAGAAAGCTACGAATCTCTATCTCGGCTCATAGATGATTTCGATCGGAACCTGCAAATGATTCAAAAAATGAACATTGATACGGCGGGTTGGAGTGTATTATTAGCGTACATCGTTTGCTCTTGTCTCGATGCGTCAACTTTGAAACAGTGGGAGAATCACCACAAATCCACAGAGGTTCCCCAATACGAACAGCTAATCGAGTTCTTGCGCAGTCATTGTATCGTTTTGCAGTCCATCGCTCCTGGAAAGCCACGCACCTCTGAAGCGTCACGATCGGATGTTGTAAAGGTGCAGAAATCAAAAGTTAGCAGCGTACATTCCGTCATCAGTTCTACCTTGAAGTCGTGTGGGTTTTGTAATCAGTCTATCCATTCACCTTTCAAATGTGAAATGTTCCGCAAGCTGTCCGTTCCTGAACGTTTCGATTTGGTGAAGAAAAGGTCTCTCTGCATTAACTGTCTATCAACGGATCACCAAATTAAGAACTGTTCATCTGGCGCCTGTCGTGTTTGCAATCAAAAACACCACACGATGCTCCACCAGCAAGCTCCAATTCGCAATTCGGCCCATCCAAATGTTTCTAAGCTTCACCAAAACCAACCAACCACAAGTCAGACTCAATCTCAATTCCAAACCGCTCAAACGGCTCCACCAAACGCAAATAAGACTTCCTCGCAATCTCCTCCCGCTGAAAGTCAACAGTTAGCCACTGGTTCGCTCAGTTATTGCTCCACCTCCTTGGCTGCCAACTTTCATCGAATCCCATCAACTGTGTTGCTGCAAACGGCTCTTGTAAAGGTCGTCGGATCTTCTAGGAATATTATGTGGGCTAGAGCATTGCTCGATCCTGCTTCACAGCTGAACATCATTTCGGAGAACTTAGCTCAACGATTGCAGCTGTCAAAGGTCAAAGATCATCACACCATCGGAGGTATCGGAAAGTCTACCATTGTGTCTACCCACTCCATCACAGCCGAGATCCAGTCACATTGCTGCAACTACCGTACACAGCTGAAGTTTCACGTGCTGAGTTCTGTGACACGTGAGCTGCCTTCAAACAACATCGAAGTCACTGAGTGGCATTGGCCTAATGACATCGTGCTTGCTGATCCCCAATTCAATGAACCAGGGGTAGTAGATATGATTATAGGAGTCGATAGCTACTATGACCTTCTTCTCGATGGATTTATCCGCCTCGGTGCGGGACAACCAGTGCTGCAAAATACTTTGCTGGGATGGGTTGTTTCTGGCAGGGCTGGGGTCAACCGACCCGAACCGGAGATAGTTAGTATCGTCCACGTGTGTACGCAAGATTTCGATGAGAAACTATCCAGATTTTGGGAGTTAGAAGCTTGTCAGTCCTCTAGTACCATGTCAGTAGAAGAATCCACTTGCGAGGCTCACTTTGTCGCAACGACTGCAAGGGACACCTCTGGTCGATTCATGGTAGCACTTCCGATAAAACCGTCCGTTATATCCCTGATGGGAAACTCCTACGAAATCGCCAAACGGCGCTTTCTGTCGTTGGAACGCCGTTTACAAACCAACCCTCAGCTCAAATCTGCATACTCGGCTTTTATCGAAGAATACCGTCTACTGGGACACATGAAAGAGATTACAGATATCAAGCTACCAACCCAGTATACTCCCTACTATTTTCCGCACCACTGTATCGAACGTCCTGATAGCTTGACCACTAAACTTCGTGTCGTGTTCGACGCCTCCTGCGCCACTGATACTGGCATTTCCCTGAATAACACGCTTATGGTAGGGCCAGTGGTGCAAGATGATCTTGTATCCCTAATTCTGCGATGGCGAATTCATAGGTACGTCATTATTGCGGACATAGAAAAAATGTACCGTCAAATCCTGATGAATCCTGCCTTCCAATGTCTTCAGCGGATACTCTGGCGAGATGACCCTTCGGGGCCGATTCTGATCTTCGAGCTAACGACGGTGACTTACGGAACCTCTTCGGCCCCATATCTGGCCACGCGATGTTTGTACGAACTCTCCAAGGAAGGTCATTACTCGAACCCTTACGCCGCTAAAGTTGTAGGCAAGGACTTCAACATGGATGATCTGCTTACGGGATGTAACGATGTAGAGGCTGGGAAGATCTTGTGTACCCAACTACTCCAGCTGTTGGGCTCTGCTGGATTCCAATTACGAAAATGGTCGTCAAACTCTCCAGAGATTCTTGCCCACATTCCTCAACCGCTGCGAGATGAACGCAACGTCCTAGGACTGGATCCGGGAGCTTCGATCAAAACGCTAGGTCTGAGGTGGGAACCCGCATCGGATGTCCTGGGCTTCCACGTACCGAAATGGAAGGAAAACCATCACATTACCAAACGGATTGTTGCTTCCGATACTGCCAGTCTGTTTGACCCTCCAGGCTTCCTAGGACCCATCATAGTAGTCGCTAAACTGTTCGTGCAAGAACTATGGAGAAGCAATCGTTCCTGGGACGAGCCCCTAGAAGACGAAATCCAGCAAAGATGGTTGCTGTTTCGGTCGCAGCTTGCAGTAATCGAAAACCTCACCGTTCCACGCTGGGTTATTCCGATTGTCAACCCGACCCACATCGAACTTCACGGTTTTTGTGATGCCTCTGAACGGGCATACGGGGCCTGTATATATTTACGTGCCGTATCCAGCAATGGAGACACCTCTGTTCGACTCTTGACGTCAAAGTCGAAGCTTGCACCACTGGGAAACACTCCCAAGCAAAAAAAATCTGTTTAGCTCGACTGGAGCTATCATCGGCACTATTATTAAGCCACTTGTTCCAGAAGGTCCAGAAAGCATTGAACCTCTCCATGAAGTGCTTTTTCTGGACTGATTCTATGATAGTGCTTCACTGGATATCGGCGGCTCCGTCCCGTTGGAAAACTTTTGTTGCCAACAGGGTGTCGGAAATACAGCACCTGACTGCTGATGGGTTGTGGGCTCACGTTCCAGGAAGTGAAAACCCAGCAGATATCATCTCCAGAGGAATGTTGCCAGCAGAACTCAAGGATTGTGCGACATGGTGGAATGGTCCACCCTGGCTCAGTCAACCAAACCGGTTTTGGCCGCCTCTAGTCCGCCTTCCCTCTGAAAACATCTCCGTTGAAGACCTCGAGGAACGTTCGATAGCACTTCCCATTCAAATCAGAGCTCCAAATCCTATCTTCGGTCTTCGCTCATCTTACGCTAAGCTGATCTCTCTAGTCGCATATCTCTTGAGATTTTGTCACAATTGCAAGCAACGGATGCATCGCGAACGAAGAACTGGTTTTCTCCGTACCAGTGAATACAACAAAGCACTGAAGGTCCTCGTTCGGATCGCTCAACAGGAGTCGTTAGAAGAAGATCTTCAAGCCGTAGCAGTCTGTGGTGAAGTTAACCGCAACTCAAAATTGAAGACATTGGCCCCCATTTTAGATGATGGAGTGCTCAAGGTGGGTGGCCGTCTGCATAACGCACTGGTTCCAGAAAATCGTAAGCACCCGATGATTCTTCCCGCAAACCATTTGTTCACGGAGATGGTAGTAACCTACTACCATCAGAAGCTTCTGCACGCTGGCCCACAGCTGATGATCGCTAGTCTTCGGGAACAGTTTTGGCCACTGAGAGTACGCAACTTGGCGCGGAAAGTGGTGCAAAGCTGTCTAAAGTGCTACCGTTGCAAACCGACCGTCCAAGAGCAGCTGATGGGGGACCTTCCCAGCGAACGGGTGACTCCAACGTACCCGTTTTTAAAAACCGGCGTTGATCTTTGCGGTCCGCTCTTCTATCGTCACATCGGACGCAAAACACCTCCGGTGAAATGTTATGTCGCCATCTTCGTGTGCCTGGTCACAAAAGCGGTGCACATCGAATTGGTGGCAAACTTAACTACCGATGCCTTCATATCTGCCATGAAACGGTTTATCGCACGACGCTCGAAGCCAGCAATTATCGAATGTGACAACGCGAAAAATTTCCAAGGAGCGTCCCGAGCACTGGCCGAACTTCTAACGCAATTCAGATCCCAGCAGCACCAACATGCCATCGTTTCCTATTGCGTAGAAGAAGGAATTCAGTTCAAGTTTATACCCCCTTGCTCCCCCAACTTCGGCGGGCTCTGGGAGGCCGCCGTTAAGTCATTTAAGAAACACCTCAAGTCAACCATCGGTACAACGGTCCTCTACAAGGATGAGCTGGAGACGCTACTCGTCCAGATTGAGAGTTGTCTCAACTCCAGGCCACTCACCCAACTGTCCACGGACCCTGAAGACCTTGAGGCTCTCACGCCAGGACATTTTTTGGTACATCGTCCTCTAGTTGCTGCTGCAGAACCATCATTTGAATCTATGCCACAGAACCGGCTCGATCGCTACCAGCAGACGCAGGAATTTGTAAGAAGGATATGGAAACGTTGGAGCACGGATTACCTTTCCGGTCTACTACCGCGTACTAAGTGGACTCGTCAGCGTGATAACCTTGCTGTCGGGACATTAGTGCTCCTGAAAGAAGAAAAACTGCCACCACTGAGATGGTGCCTCGGTCGTGTCGTTCGAATTTTCCATGGCGATGACGGGAATGTTCGTGTAGTCTCGGTGAAGACGAAAAATGGTGAATTCACCCGTGCAATTAGCAAGGTCTGCGTGCTTCCTATCCAGCAGCCAGCAAGTGCTGATGAGGATGATGTTCTCGCTGCAATGTAGCATCTTGCACACCCTACGGCGCCGTAGCGCCGTGTGTGTTGTCCCGTCAAACCATCAAATGCAAAACTAATATTTACTCTCGTTCCATGCTTATCCAATGCTAACTTATCCACCAAAACTGGCTACTCTGGCCGGTCATCCGTTCATTTCTGGCTTCTGGGAGGCATCGTGAAACGCTGGCAAGGCTACTCGTCGAAGACACCACAACTACCATGGTGGCGGAGGTCAACTTTCGCTTCAACCACATCGCTGACGCTTCAAATTCATTGACCTCCGTATTCAACCGTTCACAGTCCGAACACTCTCCATGGCCGCCGAACATGCTCCAGGATACCATCGTGCACAACAGATTACGTCCGAAGGTGAGTTGTTCCGGTTTACACTTTTCTCTCATTGGATACTACATCAATTCTTCGCTCCGAGGTTCAACGGCAAAAAGAAAATACTAACCATCAATGACGACCGAGGTCCAGTATCCTACCACATTGAAGCCTGCTCCTAGTAATGCTACCACCAATGAATGAAGAATCGTGCGAAGAACGAAGTCGACGTCCAACGAAATCAGATTACCATCCCGAGATCGAAGTAGATGTCAACATCCTGAAGATGCACTGTTGAGCGTACGAGTTGCGTGAAGATCAACAACGATGCAAGTCGTACCGACGTGTCACAGGGTCAGAGCCGACGTGCCACCATGCCCAACCACCGACTGCGAGAGCCGAAGACCAGGAGTGCCAGAACAACAGTTTAGAGTAGTTACATTAAACCTAATGCAGCATTTCAAATGAATTAGAATAATGAATTTTGCTGTCTCTTTGAAAATCAAATTAGCTGTAGATCAGGAATATTGAAAACCACACTTTTCAACAGAGGCCGGCTATGTTAACAATAAATACGAACACCCTAGGATTAAAGTTATAACAGTTTCAAATTTGTTAGCAGAGTGTACACACTACCACGCATCTCTCTTATCACCTATCGGTCTGATAGAGTGAAAGGATATCAATAGGCTTTTTACAATTCGTGTGCAGGTCGTGTTTGCAATCGGACCCTTTGCATATTATATAACCAGTATAGAATAGCCAGGCCAGTTCAATTCAATAAAGACCGCCAACCTAAGAGCACTCCTTCACTAATAAACCGTTTTCCTAGTCTGATACCGAGCCAATCTAGTTTCTTTTATTTTCGCACAAGCTGTTTTAAACAAACTTTGTAAGTTCCTTTGCACGTGAACCAAAGTACGCCCCCTGGGCAAAATCCTCGTTTGTTAACTGAATCTCGGCAGTTTTTTCACTGAGATCCAGCAAAATGGATTGCCGAGCTGCTCGGTGGTGCCCATCTTGGCAAAAAATCTAAGTGTCTAGATGGTGAAGAACAAAAGCTGCAAGCAAACGATGACGCTGATGACAGTGATTCTGAAATTGACGAATTTGGTGACGCCGATGATGTGCTGGTCGATCATGATCCATAACCTGCTGCGCTCCCTCCACAAACAGAGGACCCACAACAGTTGGTAAGGCGCAGTGCGAGGGACCGCGTAACTCCAGGCTAGAGTCGGTGTATAATGAGTCACGGCAAGAGAAAAACAGTTGAACTCGCATCACGGCTTTCGAAAGATTCCCTTTCTTCTCACTTGGCAACAGAGGACTTCTACATCAACTTCAAATGACTTCTAGCGAGAAAAAAAAAATAGCGGCTGTAGTAAATCATTATATCTGTGATTTTGTCAAATTATCTTATCGAAAAATAGTAGAAATTCTCATTACTGATCATTACCAAACGTATCCCATGACAATTTAATGCTCACTGCGTGATTATGATCATTTATTCGATTATATTTTATATTTTATTGCAATACCTTTCGTTGACCTCTCATAGCATCGTAATGTTTGTTTACTTTGCACGATAGGCAGCCGGTTTGACAGTTCAATAGGTAGACTTGGCTTCACTCTTGACGTGACTCATTATACACCGACTCTACTCCAGGTAAGTACCAAGATTTTTATTTGGGTCTCAGTATTATTCCGCATGATACTCCCCAAACTTCACAGTTATGCGATGTACCAGGCGATGTCGAGCCACAGACGTTCGAGGAAGCAGTTTCTTGCAAGGAAAGCGATCGCTGGAAAGATGCCATGGTTGCGGAGTATCAAGCGTTGATGAAGAATCAGACCTAGAAGCTCACCGATTTGATAGTTGGGAGGAAAGCATTTCGCTGCAAATCGGTGTATAAGCTGAAGACAAATCCCGATGGATCCATAGAGCCGAATAAAGCCCGCTTGGTTATCAAAGGCTATTCCCAGGTCAAGGGTGTCGACCACGAAGAGACCTACTCACCTGTGGTCCGGTATGCTACCATTCGTTATCTGATGTCATTAGCTGCCAGGCTAGACCTGAAAATCATCAGATGGATGCAATTACCGCCTTTCTGCAAGGTGAGCTTGAAGTGGAAGAAATATACATGGTGCAACCGGAAGGATTCGTCAACTCTGCCAGTCCAAGGAACGTCTGCAAACTGAAGAAAACGCTATACTGACTACAGTAAGCTAGCCAACCAGAAATAAATTGCATGGTGAACTGAAGAATTTTGGACTGACGCAGTCCAAGTTCGACATAGCAGTGTATGTCGATGACTTCCTGATATTTTCCAACAACCAGCGATGGGTGAACGAGCTCAAGAAGGATCTCAGATTGGTCAACAAAGTCCTTGAAATCCGAGTGATGAGGTGGAAAGACAATGTATGTTTAGATCAGGAACAATATATTGATTTGCTACTAGAATTATTTGGCATGAAGGACTGTGATCCAGTAGCAACCCTGGCGGACCACAACCAGAAGCTGACTAAACAGATGAGTCCAAGCATCAAGGATGAACGGGAGCAAATGCAGGGAGTTCCATTTCGAGAGTTGGTAGGAGGTTTACAGTTCCTATCACAATGCACCCGCCCGGACATTAGTTTTGCCGTTAATGTAGTCAACCATTTCTGTAGTGATCCGGAGAAACCACACTGGACAGCGGCGAAGCGCATTTTGCGGTACCTTAAAGGCACTAAGGATGTGAAGATAATTTACAGCAAGCATGCAGATGAAAGTTTAGCTGGCTTCAGTGATGCGGATTTTTGGAAACTACATCGAGACGCGACGGTCCTTTACTGGTTACGATTTTATGCAGTCAGATGAACCAATTTCATAGAATTTTCGAAGACAATCCACAGTAGCCTTGTCAACAACGGAAGCAGAATACATGGCGGTATCTGCAGCAGTACAGGAAGCTATCTGGTGGCGAGTTCTACGACAGGAGTTATCCGGTGTTTCTGAGAAGGTTCCGATCTTTTGTGACAATAAGAGTGCGATGCATCTAGCTGAAAGAGAGGTTGGTTACTCACCGCGCCACAAGCATATTGATATTCGTTATCACTTCGTTCATGAGAAAATTGAGGAGATCAAGATCGGTTTGCAGCACGTGGCTAGTCAACAACAAGTAGCGGATCTTCTAGCCAAAGCGATTCCGGCTCCCAAATTCGAAACCGAAAGACGTGCTATTGGAGTTAAAAGCATTCTCGGTTAAGGGGGATGTTGGCGTAGTAACCATCGAATTAGTGATGATCAAAATATGTCAGCACTATTAAGGCTGTGAACCATTTGCTGAGTTAAATTTAACTCGTGGTTAAAAGTGACATTTCGAAAGTTATTTTCTATGTTCGAAAATCCCCGTGCTGTCGATCGACCGGTTTTCAACCTACGGTTGTCAAAATTTAACTTCTTGTTTGTCAGAAATAACCATGCTCGGATAGCAGGGTTCATCGATAACTTTCCATCTGTCAAATTTTAACCAAAAGTTAAAATAATCCACCAAATGGTTCAAAGCCTAAATAAACTAGTTCATCTTTCACACCACTATCGACCAGACGTGTTTCATCAATTGTCCCATTAATTTTCTTTTGATAACGGTTCTTGCCCTTGGTGCATACCACCCTTGACTCCACATCTTGATGCTGCTAGACCAAGTGCAGCAGAGTCTTCACATGCACTGGCAAAAAGAAGCACCTACTATTTATGCTGTTAATTTCTTTGCTTGCGAACATGGTCCGGAACCCGCGAGTCAAGGTAAAGTGGGAACTCACCGGGATCAACTGGAGTGTTCGGAAAAGGAAGGGAGATGCCAGCTGCCCGGCCATCAACCAACAACGGAGCTAGCAGCCAAAGCCAACGCAGCGCAGAAGACTAATTCAAAAGCACACAGTTTTAGCTTCCGCTTCCGAGCATGGTGTGTAGCCTTATTTGCGTCGTTTCTGCCGCAGCACGGCTTCAGCATCAGCATCAGCACCAGCAGGTATGAGTAGTTGAAGGATGAAATAATCATTATAATTAGTGAAAATGACGATAATGGAGAAAGGCAAAGCGTATTCCCTTTGGAAAAAGGAAACCCCATTCTAGCCTTTCTCTCTCTCGCTGAGTCTAAATGAAGTGAGTGCTCTATTCCGACTCGTAGTGTCATCCTTTTGAAGCAAGTTTAGCTTTGTAGACCGCCATCCTGCGCTGTCGGTTGCTGCGTTTAGAGTTAATCTTTTACAAATCGGAATTACACCGTAATTATGCCGGAGCGGGTTAGTTGAAAGCACACTCGACCATAGACTCCAAGCGCGCCCGTCTATTTAGTGACTAATATTGCGGAAACGTTTTGAAAATGAATGTGGCTCTGAGACTCATTTATTCATTAACGGCACCGCATATGGTGACGGTATCATCATCCAGATCAGTTCAGTTCAGTTCATTGTGGTGGCATTCAATTCCGAATGATGAAAGAGAGAAGCGTTCTCCGTTGTTGTCGTCGTTTTTCGCTCTGTTCAAAGGATTTTTACCCCCCCCCACTTCATCCACATGTGAATGATTGTGTGTGAATAATGATACAAATTTACCAGATAAGCCGTGTGAAATCGGTGCCCCATTCATTCGGAGCGATAAGCTTTTGGCGGAGTTTGGGTGGCCTGCGGAGCGAAAGAATGGGACTTCTCCACGAAAGGATTCATGCCGAATTGGTGGTCGTAATTAACGCGGCTTCGAATAGCAGATAAATGATGAATGGTTGGATGTGTGTGTGTGTGTGGTTATGATGGGAATCAATAGAAATGCAGTTGAATCAAAGGAACCGATTTCAATTTGGAAACATGGAAGACAATTATTGAGAGTGGATTTTGGTCCATCCAAACATTGGTTAAATAACGTTAAATAAATTTATTTTAATCCCTTTGGGGGGTAAATAGAACTGGCTTTCAAAGCCCATTTCGAGATGAGAATGCGTTACATAAATTTGCACAACTGAGTGCCTGGCAACAAGGTTTAAGCTCCACAGCCAAATTTTTGCTTGTTTAGAATTTTCCGGGATTCAGCATCTAGGTGTGCGGGGCTTTTTGTTAGCTTTTGTTGTACATGGGTTTGATGCCATTCGGACCCTAAGGTAGCTCATATGTTCTTTTTGGGAGCATGTATGGCGTCTTGGGCGCGAATTGGTGTGTCGAGTTGAGCTTCGTTTCGTCCTAGTTTGGCAAACTCTTTCGTTGCCGGAAATTCCAGAATGACCAGGAATCGAACTGAATGTGTTTTTTTCTGATATCTGCGGTTTTTTCAAGCGATTGAATCCAAGGGTGTTTAGACCGATCATCACGTAGTGTATCGAGGCAGCTAGCAGAATCGGTTAATATGATTGTTTCCCGCTGTTTACATAGTTTTGAAGCAACAGCGTTAAGCGCAAAGGCTTCCGCAGAGAAGACACTACAAATGTTACTTGGTAGT